ACACAGCTAATGCTTCTCGCTGAGTCTGTGAATAACCTTGTTCAGTAACAGTAAGTTTGCGTGAAACACAAATAACTGGTCTACCCTCCTGTTCCAAAAGTGCGCCAATACCCACAGGTGATGCATCAGTGATAAGTACAGACTGTACAATAGGGGAGTAAGTTCGAAGGACAGCATCACTTTGAAGAAATTTTAGTAGACTACGTAAGCATGACTCTTGTTCCTCACCCCATTTAAATGAATTGGATGTCAAAATATTAAATAAACAATTTGCACGACAAGAAAAATTAGGAATAAAACGGGAATAGTATTCAAGAGCACCCACTAGTGAACGTAGTTCCGTAGGATTTTTTGGAGACGGTGCATTTGTCAGTGGAGCTAGTCGTTTCATATCTGGTCTAAAACCATTACCATCAACTAGGTATCCAAGACATTCGAAATTAGATACACAAAATGAATACTTATTTGGATTCACTGTAATATTCTTCTCAATTAAACGACGCAATAAAGCAATAAGTCTCTGGTTATGAACTACCTTATCAGAACCATGGACAATGAGATAATCTTGATAAACTTCAACGCCCTCAAGATCACTAACTACATTATTCATAACTTCCTGAAATATGGCTGGAGAACAACTTAGACCAAATGGAAGGAAATTGTATTTGAACAGACCAAAAGGAGTATTAATTGTCGTCAAAAGAGATGAAGATTGATCTAAAGGGATTTGGAGATAAGCATTTTTTAGGTCAACTTTCGAGAACACTTTAGAACCATGAAGTCGATTTAGAATATCTTCAGCCTCTACCGTCGTGCACGTTTGCTTCAACAAACGGGAATTCAGTGTTAATCTATAGTCACCACATATTCTAGGGGTTTTGCCATCCGACTTCAGTGTCGTAACAATAGGAGTACCCCATGCTGAGGACTGGGTCGGTTCAATTATGCCTTTCGCACACAAATCGTTTAATGTTTTATGTACCGCATCTCGAAGACCATAAGGAATTATTCGTCTTTTAAGAAAGACTGGTTCACCCTGTACTTGAAGTTTTATAGGCTGAATCTTCATACCTCCACTGCACTTAGCACACGAAGATATCAAATCTTTAAGTAAAGCATCATTATTTTCTTTATAAACTAGGAAAGACAGCTCCACTTTAAGCCTTTTTAAATTCCTTAAGCCCAGTATTGACAGTCCTGTTTCGCTAACTAAAAATTCACAAGGTATGTATGAAGAATTATCATCTCGTATTAGCAATTCACAACATCCACGTATAGGCAGTCTGTGTCCAGTAATCCCCAATATTGATATTTCATTGGGTCGTACCACAACGTTAGGATCTAAAGATTTCAAGTTCTTGAATGAAATAATGGACTCTATACTGCCTGTGTCCTATCTTACCACATCTAAAGCATTTAGCATTACGAAATGCACATGAATTATGAGAATGAATTTTTCCACATGATAAACATTTGCCAAACTTGGTCTCACCTTTGTGATTTCCTTTGTAATTCCTTGTTGGGATATCTTTCATATTTACACGAGAATAGGAACCACTGTTAAACGAACGCAATTTTGATTGACCCTGAGATTGTATTTCATCATGATGACTAAGCAAAGTATTAGAAATATTCATCGACTGAATATCAAGTTCATCCACTGCCTCGTAGTTAAGACACGCAGTTCTAGTATCTTGAAAGGAACAGTTTGGCATTCTTAACAGCTCTCTTTCCAAACCCGGCAAGTTAATTCCTGCAATTAATCGATCTCTCAGTTGCACATGAAGTTGATCACCAAAATTACATTTGGCAGCTTGTTTCTGCAATTCGAGAATGAATTCCTTAAGCTTTTGGTCATTTCGACAAGTCATCTTATGAAATTTTGTCCTTTCACGGCACTCAAAACTAGTGCACTTTACATGATTTAATAATAACTCCTTAATAGTTGCATAAGGAAGTGAGATAGGTTTTTCTGGATATGCCAAAGTTTTCAATAAGCTGTATGCTTCTTTTCCGATGAATGTCAGGAAATGTGTCACAATTTTATCACCTTTAACATCCTTCTTGGTCATGCTCCAAATTTCAAACCTTTCCAAATAATCCTCAAAAGCTTCAGAAGTTGAATGAATATCTAACTTTTCCATCGCAGGCCCCATCGCGACGCCAATATGATAATTAAAAGTATTTGAATTATGGTATGAACTAAGAATCCCAGGGATAACGCAATTGAATCAAGAAGTACTACACAAGCACTACCGAATGTACTGTATTTAGAATTTGAAATCAAACATTCAACAAGTACAAAGGAGTCATTAGTTCATTCAAACACCACAACTGGTTGCAGCAGCAAATACAATTTGTTTTACGTTGACAAAACCTATTAAACTCCAGATGGAAAATTATCTGCACTACATGTTTTCGTTAATGAATTCACTGAATTTGCTGTTAAGGTCTTACACATGAAAAGCGCATCAGATTTTGTGGTCATATGAATGTCTGTGACTTAAACAGGTCGTTTAAACAAATCATATGATGTCATACTTCATATATCCGCAGATCTAAAGAGTATTCATGTTCCGATTTTCACTGAAACTGATATACGAAAATGTCACCACTCACTTAGATCGTCCAATGTTTAGGATCTAACGAAATCCCAAACCTCCATTTTAAGAAATGTACGAACGTTTCGCGTTAATTACTGACAAGCATCTTTAACAAATCCTCGACTAATCTTGTGATGAAAATGTGAGGGAAGTTCAAGATAAACCCGATGCCGAAGAAAGTATCTGGCGATAAGAATGTAAAACGTAGACCCATAGCAACAACTTCATATTTTCTCAAAACAGTGGCAAAACTATTGCTAACCGTGCTTGAACCTGCACTAAAAGGGCATATTGATCCATATCAGTTTTCTTCGAACTCCAAAGAGGCATCCTACATGCTGCTCTTGTCCTGCATCATAATATAATGGTCATCTTCGAAAAAAGTGAGAAGTAAATTCAATGAGCTTTCTGAGAATGTACTTGTGCCTATGACAATTGAAATACAACTTCTACCAAACAAGTGAACCATCGTCAACATCGACAGCTGGATAACCAACTGATTGTGTTCCTACCTCTCTGGGAGAGAACAGTACACTGTGTTTGGAGGAAAGTGTTCGATGCCTTCACTAAGTGGTATGCCACAAGCAGTCGTTTTTTCCTTTATTTTCTGATTTTTTCTGCATGTTCTGCCGTCTACAGAAAATATTTTGTTCAGTTTGTGGACGATTTAACTGTAAGTACACCGACTTCTGTCTCTTCATATCCCTGTGAAATAAGTGGGTTTTTGTTACCCACTGAATAATGGTTTGTTGTTGGTGTTAATACACTCAATCCTTCTAAATGTCAGACTGTTAATTTTTACGTAAAGTGTAAATACCACTTAAAAATCCTGTTGGAATTTTGTAAAGCTTGTACTTTTAGAGAGTTCTTAATAGACACGGTATCATAAGTCATTTATTTCAGTGTATATTTTCCTCCGAACGTTCTTGATCCCCATATTTCTTATCATTTTTAAAAACGTTTCCCGACTAATTTGCTAAATGTACAGGCCGCATGCTTTTGAGATTACTCGACATTTACTCCTACAACTTGCCAATTTTCGCATACTGCCACCTATTCTTTATTGCTATTCATTATTCTTCCCCGGGATTTTGATGGAAGTCTTTGCAATGTTGCAGAGAGTCCTAACTAAAGTTAGCAGGTTATGTGGTGAATTTTTTAAAGTCATTATTGCTATGATTGTGGATAGGCATCTAAGATTTCGCAAAATCCTGGCTGGTGTTATCTTATCAGATACTAGCCATCCATTCATTCTCATCTATTTCTTTGGATATCTTCCGGTAGCATGAGATGTCAATACATTGGAATGAATACACATTAGCAAAAGTATGGGAGCTCTACGATGCCTCATCTAGCAAATATATTATGACAAATAGGATGTAAGAGGTGACTTGCATCGATAAAAATGTTTCTGACTAAAAAGTTCGTACGGATTCGAATGTTTCTGAAAAGGTACAGTTCATCTAATTCCAGGTTGCTTATTCATTTAATTGATGTATATTTGTATTCATCTGTCATTTTTCTTCTTTTACTTTGTAAAACAAACTCGTCGAAACATTTGTTTTGACAGTTCCACATTTTAAAAATATATGATATCAAATAAGGCCACTAGCGATGAAAATTATAGTGGTGGGGTGGGATATATCGAATGACCCACGATATTGAGCCACCATCTGCTCTTGTCTTCGGTGATAACTGTCCCACATTTGAGAACGCTGAACTTCGCTGATGACGGCTTCAAAACAGAAATCCGAAAGTTACCTCTCGAAGCTAGTCAGCTGAGAGAAAACATTTATTATCAGTATAAAGTTTTGCAGATTGTTGAACCATGAACAGATACATGTTGCACCACCATTGAAAATCTGGGAGAGCTGGGCTGCTGTTTAGACCTAGTATGGAACTCCTCGGCAGTGCGCACTCTCAATCTCGCATGCGCGAATCCAAACCTCGATATTTAGTCTCGCGCAACGGCTTTAGTGTGTGAGCGATGTGCTCAGTACTTTGATTGTATATTGCCAATGATGGCGATGTGTCGAAGGGTCGGAGGCCTACTCGAATTATATGGGAATGGTGTTACCAAATAGCTAATTTTGAAGTTACACTGTTAGCACCTAACTTGGATTAGCCTTTCGTCGTATCAAGGTACTATGACTGCATTGATCACCGAACAACATAAACGACGTTATTACGAAAATATATCATTAAGAGTAGGTGTAAGGTACAAAGTGTGATCACCATCGCGTGGGCAGCTCATGGCGTGCAATTAGTTGTTATTGACCTTGACAGGAATCAATGAACTGTCCTACTTACAAAGACGGATGACTTTGCTAGGGCTCAGTGCCGTTTCAATGACCTTACATGATCATTATTATTAGTTTAGTGTTCCATGGTTGATTACACAGGTTGGGGCAAGGTTACGTGATATCGAGTTTTCGCGCTATAACCCGTGTTGTACAACTCACTGTTGCAGCACGCACTACGGCGGTAAGTTTGACTTTTAGTCTTGCAACATTAGGCAACATGGTAAGATAGAGACGAACTTTGATTTGAGATTACTGACTAATTGATTGGTTAGATCGGTACGTTTGATTGGGCAATTTCGGTTAGCTGCTAATTGAGATAAGAGTATATATATATATATATATGTATATACGTATCTCATCGAGGGATTTACTCCAACGGCGAATAGACTTAGCCACAACACTTGTATATATCCGTGTGGTTGCCTGCGGTGATTAGGTAATCATATTCAGTAACTGTGTACGGATGGTGCATACCGATTGATTCTCATGGGGTGAATCGTTTTTGTCTTATCAAGGTAAAAATACAATAGATTCTGTGTTCCAATATATACACTCAAAAAAGTTCACAAGCCCAGATCAAACTACTTGTCAGCTGACTACCGACTTTCCTATTGAATCATCAACGAGTGGAATTCATTACCTCAGCACGTGGTTGAGGCTCCATCCGTCGACTTTTTCAAAAAAGAGTTGGATCAACTGATAGACCATCATTGTCAAGACTAACACAGGCTATCAAGCCTCCTGTCCTTTCCAAACTGAAACTTCTTGTTGATCACTTTTAGGGTTCTTGTTATCTTTGTAGTAAAAATTATTACCCGTACTTAATTTCTAAATAATAGAATTGGATTTTATTCGAGCTTTCTCTTTTGGATAAAGCAGGATTTTTCTGAGTAAATTAGGTTAATCTAGCTAGTAAATCATCAAACTTATGTGCTTGAGTAAAAACCTGAGTTAACAGTTGTGATTCGGAGATTACTGATCGCCACTTACCTTTCAAGATATTTGTTTATCAACATTTACCGAAACACTTCACTGGCTTAATGGGAAGAAAGCTTCGTAATAAAAACCCCAAAATCCGTGTTAGCTGTGCTGATTTTGTTTTGAAGAATTTTTGCAGATACCCTCGTACAACTGTATGAGAAATTTGCTTTTTCCCAACTGATCATAACCATTACATGTTCAAAATCTGTTAAGTAAATTCTTAACCTGATTTTCCGTAAATAATCTGTATTAGTTGGGCAACATTTATGAATATAAACTCGTACTTTTAAGTGTCACTTCAAACTGGACGAATGATTACAAAAGTATCACAAACATCGCAGCCTATCTGTACAGTGACATCTCCGGATAGGTCAGTCAGCAAAAACGTAGTTCTTCGTACGTATGTACATCAGTCCGAGTTGCCATGCTACATTAGCACAGAGATACAATTTTCGATTCAAATACCATAGTGGTAGAGGCAGTAAAAGTATAAGCAGTAATCGGAAAGATCAGGGTTTGAAGATGTTATTCAAAAAGTGTAATCCAATGAAATAAATTTGGAAAGAGGAAAAAATAGGGGACATGAAGAATTCAGGAGATTAGAATTTGGGAGAACACAAATAATAGATGCACCTGCGCCATTGCAAACCACTTTGAGTCATGTTATTCAAGGTCTCTAACCATCGGTTGCTATCATCTTGCGGATCCCAATCAGGTAGTCTACACCTACCAACATAGCTCAGTCTACTTGTCAATGACTTTATGGATTTGTGCCATGTTTTGGTCTGGTCTCCCGTAGCTGCTACCTTGATGTGGCAGTCGGGCTCGCCTATGGTGACGACCCAAGCGAGCTATATTTGCAGCAACATATGTTCCTGTAGGTTCGACCATACCAGGCAGGTCGACTGGAGAACGTTAAGACTGAAAGCAGCAACTTAAGGTCTGAGGGTGAAGTCGTACTGCTGACTGTAGAGGAGTGTGACAGCAGTAAGGTGTTTCCCTCGGACAACCAGCACCTGCAGCAATGCTGCTTTATCACAAGAAAGGAAGAGATTGGAAAAGGTCGACCCTAAAACTGTCACACTTTGAGCGTTTTCATCTCCGACGGCGAGGCATTTTAATGAACGGAGCTATCATGTTAAAAACGTCCCACATAAAGGCTGTGCGTGACTGGCCTCAAGCAGTTGTCCCTTGGTCTGTGCGGTCACTCTTCCAGGTCGTTAATGACAACGCTAATCCATCTTTGGATAGTAATTTTCCATAACGTTTATGTCCGTTACAGGTTCCAAACCCTTAGAATGACTTTCTCCAGACAAATGTATTCGATTAATCTATTACGGACAAGTTGGCTGCATTATTGTGTTAACAATCGATACTCAGTAGTCCCAGTCACTGGATTATCCGAATCATCAGTAGCTGGTGACCAGGAATCTGAAACTAATTACAACAAACTAAAATCCCTAAATTTCTCCGTGAATTCAGTTACGTTACTTGGGACTGTCATCGGGATAAAAGTAAGTTGCCACTTCTATTGAGGAGATACTGTATGTTATGATAAATGAACTTACTAATAATTAGCTCTATTTATCCTTACAATATTCCACTGTCTCATCCACTAGTTGTTACTTTTATCATTTATTAAACACTTGGATATCACTTTCTGTCAGTCATGCATCTGTTTACGCTGATTTAATTTATATATATATATATATATATATATATATATATATATATATATATATATATATATATGGTCAAATGAATTGTGATTAACATCGCCTTTTTAATAGTTCTATGTTAGGCAAACCTTTCATCTGTATATCTCTGGCATACTCGATGCTCACTTAGGACTGAAGTTTGTAATTATAGACTCCAATTCAAATTTCAAAAGATCTATTATTTCGTGGAAAAATTTAAGTCGCGAGTGTCATTCAAATTAAAAACCACTTGTGTATCCTGGGATATAGCGTCATAAATTTCCACGCCCAGACTACGTACGTTCTGCCTTTCTGTCTATAAAAATAATTTTTTTTTGGGATTAGTGTTTCAACATCCTGGGGTGAGTCTGTAATCGTCCCTGTCTTTAAAAAGGTTACTTCACCTAAGCAAAAATCATTGGTTGCATCAAAATATTGGCTTTCATCATGTTTTGGAGATTGATTGAAATCCGTGAAAAATAGATTTGTGAAGAACAAGCCGGTTTTCGTCCTGACTTTGTCATCGGTAACATTCTGGAGACATCTGTGATGAATGTGGATAGTAGTGGTGTTGATTTGTTACCTCGGTAGACTTCTCAACCTTCAATATACAGATGATACCGTCTTACTGTGCAATGATACTCAAACCATACAATCCGCACTTAATCAGTTGGCAGTCAGCGTTTACAAGTGTGGCATGTGCACTTTTTAAGTGCAAAGTAATTTTACAAGACTGTAAAAACCTTGTGTCTGCACTCATTCAATAGTAAGCAGTTAGAAGTAGTGAAGAAGTTCATGTATCTGGGTAGCTATGTAAATCTTGGTGATGACGTAAGTAATGAGACTACTTCACGTATAAAGTAAGCCAAAGCGGCTTGTACCGATCTCGGCCATCTTTGGCGTCTTCTTGATGTTGGTCTGGCTGTTAAAGGTCGGATCTACAACGAGTCGTTAAGAGCACTTTCGCTCCATGTGTGTAAAGTCTGACCTCTCTGGAGTGAGGACGTTAAGCGAATGCGTTATCGATCATCGTCGTTTCAGAGAGATTTGTTGGGGACGAAAACTCACATTTTGTAATTTTATCTTATCGATTAAATGTGTAAATATTTGAATAGCAGTCAATTGACGGACTTATTGATTAAATGTTTAATTATTTGAATAGCAGTCGACTGACGAACTTGTTGATGAATGTTTAAAAATCTATATGACAATATCGATTATATATATTTGTATATATATGTTTTAAGTTGTTTTTGTTGAATCGCTCGTTAACTGGTTGTTTGCAGAATATACTTCCCATTCTAAGCTTGGACTTCTCCGTCTAGATAGCGAGGCTGGGACGCATCAATAGCTAGCTTACTGGTCTTTGGTCACTGAGTCTTGTTCTCGTTCGCAGATTAAGCGAACTCGTGACAGCTTCAAACCTAGCAGGATTCGGCGGCAAAATCATGGTGACAATACAGACGTACGGGGACAATGACGATAATTGAATTGAAGTCATAATCTTAGAACGCCTATTTCTATAGCTTGGATATGTACTACAAATGTCCCAGCGAATTCCATACGGTGCATTATTTGCTGACACTGTAGCCAGCTGTTAAAAAGCGGGGAGGTGGTTAGTGTTTTTGTATGAAAAGAAACTCTGCAGGACTCCTATCTCTTGACACTTCACCACGACTCGCTGGTTGGAGTTTAAAAAATAATGCAACACAGTGGTTTGAGTCATTACCAAATATAATTGAGAATGGAACCATGTGAATATCCTGTTATAACATTTTTCAAATTCTCCATATAAGTGAAAGAAACTTCTTTGACTGAAAGGATCTTTTTTGGTTGTATTTTTCTTAAATTTATTATTATTTTCGGTTTCACACTTACTGCTCACCCCTGTTACTCTATGTGGAGCATAGGCCACTGACCAGCATTCTCTATCGAACTCTGTCCTGGGAAATGCTTTCCTGTCATTTCCAGTTGATATTCATCCTTCGGATGTCTGCTTCCAGTTCTCAGCTCAATGTGTCCTCTAGTCTTCGGCTTTTTCGTTTCCCTTTAGGATTCCAAGTTAGCTCTTGCCTCGTGATGCAGTTTGATTTTCACTGTGTATTACCTATCCACCTCCAGTGTGTTTACCTAATTTACTCTTTAGCTGGATGCTGGTTTGCTCTCTCTCACAGTAGGCTGTTGTTGATGGCATTCGGCCAACAAACATTGAGTATCTTGCGTAGACAATTGTTTACAAATACTTGTACTTTTCTGATGATGGTTGTAGTATTTCTCCAAGTTTCAGCTCCATACAGTAGAACTATCTTGACGTTCGTATTGAAGATTCTGAATTTGATGTTGGCTGATGATTGTTTCGAGTTACATATGTTCTTCAACTGTAGAGACTCTGTTCTTGTTTTGCTAATCCTCGGATTTACTTCTGCATCAGATCCCCCTTGTTTACCAGTGATACTGCACAGGAACACGAACGTCTCCACCTGTTCCAGTGCTTCTCCATCAAGTGTGACTAGGTTGATGTTCTCCGTGTTGTATTTGAGGATCTCGGTTTTTTACCTTATGTATTTTGAGGCTTAATGATTCAGAGGTTGCTGCTATACTAGCCTACAAAAACAACTGATTGCAAACAGGGTCATCAGAATAAACTGTGGAATAATTAAAACACTCGCTTCTACATAGAGTAAACATTAGAGATGTTCAGAATAACAATAAAAACTCAGAAATCAAGCTATCTAGCTCAGAGAAAGAAAATTTATTTTTGTATATTACTCTGAAAGGGACTATGAGTTTATTTTACTCTGTTCGTTAAAGTATTTCTTGCTGATAGCTCGAAAGTGATATGTTGTAGAATTCAGTAGATACCATTTTACTTACCTTTTCGTTTTCCAAAATAAATTCATCTTATTTAATCCTATATCCTTTTAATATTTGATGATTTGTATTCTCTTTTTCTTCAAGACATTCCCAATGCAAAAAGCTCCAGATCGCAACTGGACTCTTATATTTTTGAAAACCCAATCACCCAGATTTATAAATGCTGAAAATAAATATTTAACTGGGACCTCTGATACGGATGAATATGATTCGAAATTTAAAATGGTATGGTGCAGTACATCGAATAGAGTCCATGTTTTCAGTCCTAAATTGGTCAGCGCTCTTAGAGATGTTAAACTTGGTGAACGTCTACTAGTCACTGGATTTCTTTCTTATTATCAATCACCTAAACCTGATGGAACGGCTCAAAGAAACTGCTGCGTCACGGCTCAGCGCATCGCTCATATGGGTTGGTCTAATGATTATCAGTCCAGTGAGAATCTGGCGGAAGTTCTTGAAACGTAAATTTTAGGTGAAGATTTATCACTATGTGTCTCACAACATATATATTTTAATCTTCCCATTAATGCCATCACATCCATCCAGTGAGTGCCAATTTATTATTTGAAAGCCTTTTGTTCTTGAATAGTTGATTTGTTGCATGCATCCTTTAAGTTCACTTATTCATTAAGCAGTAATTATATTACGTTTTGAACACCTGTATCACCCATTAGATTGCTATTAACTCAATAGTTAACAAATAATAATTTCCTACTTAAAAATAAGTATAAATAATATCTCAATTATGAATGTATATTCTAATCTTAATTTAAATTTAATTAACCAGGTATTGTGCAATCAGTCTGTGACAACCACTGTGTGACTAGGCATAAAGGTCTCTTGAATCAAGATACAACACCAGCACAGCGAGAATAAATTAGCGTGATTAACATTAGCAAAGTTTGAATTATTATGGTATCAATCATAGTGAAAATAATTAAACATAAAGAATATGATGTTTGAAAAATAAGTGATCTTGTGAAATAATTTTGGAACTCTGAATCAAGAAGAAAATTATGAGTATGTGGATTTCAATGAATAGGACCGATTTGGATGTATGTCACCTAAATTCTCCAACAGTCGGCCACAAATATAAAAATATTTAACATCTCAAACCTGTAGTCAGTAACTTAATGGGTTGATGCCCAGTCGGCATTATTTTAAAATTGGCAGTTCAATGTTCATAACATAAGTCATAGCTACTTTAACCGATGTAAATTCATAGCATATTCAACCGATCTACCGCCACTACCTAGTACTCTACGTCTACCCTCAATATTGCGTACTCAGTTGTATGCCAGCCATACTTCTAAAACAGATGACCAAATACTAGTAACCTGTGAATAGTTTTGACTTTGGAAAGCCATATTTTACGAAGTAAAAGAAAGTGAATTTCCGAGTATTGTACTAGTTTTTAGGTAAGAGGATGAATATCTTGTTTGTACTATAGATGGCGCAAGGTCTTAGAAATCAAGTGGCGTTTGTAAAATCGTGCTGAAGTTCCGTCAGGCATCATCTTATTACAGTTAAATGGTCAGCTGTCAATTACTTCAAATGTTCATTGACAAAGTATAGATTAATGTATTCAACTGTTTTGTAAGAGCTGCTTTTTATACCAGGGTATACAGACAGAACTAAAGAAGATGGGACTCGGACCTATTGCTTGAAAGCTAAGCGTTTTAACCACTAAGCCACCTCTCAAAATTTCATTTCTTCCAGTCAAGATTGGGGTTGACACATACTTGTGAAACAAAATCCAGCATTGGTATGGATAGATGTCCACCTCATGTATTCTGGCGTCTTTATCTAAAGTATCCATAGAATTGTTTTATTAGCGTTCTCATTAAAAAAGAACTGTCATCTGGGTCCGTAAAAATAGTGAGTTAGTAGTTATCGTATATTATTGGACCCTTTTGCAGTATGTTGCGGGAACAAGTATAAATAAATGTAGTGCTAAATTGATACATTACTGTGTGATATTTATTCTTAAAATTATTTACAATACCAAATGGTCCAATATAATTAACTATAAGTCATGTGTTTTTGAAATTTCAATCCAGGTAAACAAAAAGTAAATGGTTAGTAGAATGTTCAATGAAGTAAATCCATTCACAGTTCATATAATGGGATTGTCCTTAATCGATTGTCTATTGTCCAAAAAATAACATTTGATATATACCTATTTCGTTCTAAATCATGCATATGCAAATATTTTATTGAGATAAAAAACGAAACTGATTTTTTCCGGTATGTTACTCGATTAAGGATAGATTGTCCTCTGAAACTTCGTAGTAATTGTTTGAGTGCCGTAATTAGCTGTATTTTTATCACCAATACTTACGTTTTAACTGAAAGGTCAAGTATTTCAAATTCGTCTGAAGCGAGTTTTACTAAATGCTGTTTGAAAATATAAATCTATACTAGATCCAGAGGTTTGCTACTAGTTTACCACAAAATGTAATCAACTTCAGAGTACATCGTAAACTGATGGGTAAGTTCACCTTAAGCTTATAGAATAAACATGAAGCGCTTGTGAGTTCCTCACGTATTTCGAAATGACGGAAATGTTAATAAACAAATGAATACAATACAGTGCTTTTGACTAGAACATTCACTGAATACTGATTCTAAATTTGTTTTAGTTATTATATAGACTTAGAAGCCAAACATGAAAACAATTGTTTATATGCTAGTCGATCCAAAAAAGAATATTGACATGTGATATTTTCTGGAAACTGCTGAATCTCATTGAAAACTTAGAGGCACTTAGCACTGTTGCATGATGACTGAGTGGTCTGGGGGTCAAGCATTTGCGTGCAAAACTGAAAGTTGTATGCTCAATCCCTGTTGGGGGAGTTGCAGATGAGCACTGTTGAGTTCCTTACTAGGACAAAACAACCGTCCAGTCCTTATAAGTTTTGAAGTCTAAACTAGATAGGTTCATGGTTTCACTGAAATTACTCTCCGTCAACGATGAGTAAAATCCAATCAATACCAACTTTAAATTGTTCTACCAACTACCGTGTATATTGACTGTAACTAAATACCATGATAAGTTTCCTTAATATCAAAAAATGTGTGCGGTTTCGAAGTATTGGAAGCATCATGAGAATTCATTCTTGTAAGTTAAAATCTGGTGACTGAATTTATTACTATGTTTAGACAATAACATTTCTGTCCCTTATGTCGAGAAATGAGTGTGTTTATTTCTCAAGCTGATGAGACAACAGATTGAGTTTGAACTCAAACGCTGTTATGAAGAATTTTGATATAACGTTCCAAGTTTCCCCAGTTGTTATTACGCATATTTTCAGATGATACTACCGAGGGTCGTAGTTTTTTCAACCATAGGCTCATCCAACACGAACAAGTATAGGTTCATTTATATAGTTTTGAGTTCCATTTATACAGTTTAAAAACTACCCAGCTTCTCAGAACAATAAGAATATATCAGTATTGCAATACGAAACCTAAAAGTTGAAAATGCAACACCGTTAAACAAACGAACAGTCTCATTTGACCAATAATATTCGTTTGCATAACCACTAATATTTCGGTGTATACGAGACTCATCTTTGTGGATCAATGATACCGAAATTGATGAGTGATCAAATCCTGGACACAGTCTGGTTACATTTCGTGGAAATTCCAAATTTTTAAATATCAGTAATGACAACAATAATGAATTACTCAAGATAAATACATTCACGACCAAGGATCGTGAAGATAAATCCTATAACCAAGCTAATTTTCACTCATGACTGATTTTTTAAGGCTATAGTGTAACAGCCATATAGTATACGGTTAGTAATTAAACAAAAATTAGATCACAAAATATAGTCATCGATTGTAAAATAAATAGAGTAGCAAATAAAATCGTACATATAACAAACAGCTGAATTTAATAAATATAATTATTAAATAGGAGAAAATAAATGATTATTTAACGAAGACCGGGGCTGTGTAGAATACACATTAAGAGGCTACAACATGATACGATTGTTATACACATGAGTAATCGACAATGTGTAAAGCATGATCCACAATCGGTTGGTTGTGCATTAATTTCAGTGTAGAAACAAACATTTACATGCGTGTAATTCACAGCGTATTCCTGTATAAGATGGATAATCGTATTCGAATAATGGAAATAGAAGATTACATTACCCTCACTTCAAATGAAAATTATGATGACTACAACACACGTGAGTGTATATAATTCACATGTTTTTTTAGAACACAAATGAGATGATAACAATATGCATGTTTATCGATGATACAATTTTGAAATCATTAATTACACAATGATCAGTCCAATGTAAATATAAATCAATATGATCATGGTGATCAGTTCCATTTTTGAGGGATCAGCAATTACCTTATCGAAATTGATAACCCATCAAAAATTAGCAATGTGATAATAAAAAACATGACAATTAGAAGTAAGGATTGTTCTGAGATTTGACGATTTTTATGATTCCCATGATAAATATTTAACTAGATTTGTAAAGTAGGTACTTCGACTGAACTGACTGGCATGATCATGAAAACTACTGCACGCGACAAAAGAACTAAAGCGACCAGATAAAGAACTGTTCAAATAGAAATAAGCGATGGAGTTGTCAAAGTTATTATTGTAATTAGAGGGAAATAACCCAATAAAATATGAGAATAAATGATTAGTTGTTGTTGACAACCTGTGTAAATGGTGAAAAGCTTTCGGTAGGAAAACTACACTCTTACCAGCTTAAAACGCTCAGTTCGAACAAAATACTTTTGACAGACGCGGAACTCAACTGAATTCTTTTCTAATTATGTGATCCGTTAGCATTTCACCGAGAAAATTTATGTCTTAACATCCTAATGCAAAAGGAAATTCCTGTGGAAGAAATCTATTTTATACGAGTAGGGTATATCTTGCAATCGCCAATAAATTTATGAAGAAACGAGCAGAATTTAGAATAGAAGATAAAGAATCATACGATCAGTAATATAAAATAACGAAATATGCTGAGCAATACATTTCGAATAAAAGCCAGTCGGTTGATAAAGGTAGATGTGTCTTTTTGAGCGTCACATAACGAAGATAGCTTTTTTTCTGTTCCGATATGTATATCCAACTGATCATTAGAAATACATCGGAAAGGTAAATCTCTACTTAGTAACCCATATCCAACATTTTATTCTACGAATTCACAATTTTCACGCCACATTCCCAAAGAATTCTTGCTATTACTTTATTTAAAGGCACCCAATGCATATGCGCCCATTTTATCATTTGATTTCTGTGAGGGTTGGATTACTTCCCGGGTGCCCAAACAGAAGCACGTGGTTTTCTTAGGGGGCCACGCCCGGAGCCTTCGAACTAAAGGTCTGATCCATAAGGCAGTGGAGCGACATAAGAAGATGCAGTCACATGGTAGCCGGTGACCAGTAATTGGTTCATACGCTATTTATTTCCTCAGGATCCTGGAGCTCATATACACCATTGGTTTGGAATGAATGTTTTCCAACTCCTCTAGGTGGACCCTCCGTACCTATCAACTCGGTTTATTTGCTTGACATTGGCTTTTCGTCCCCTCAATTTCGTCAACAACACCCTCGTCGCGAGAAGGCAGTGAGTAGAATTTCCTTGACAGTGGTTCTATGCACATGGCCAAGTAAGAGCATTTCGAGGGGGAAAGCTGACTCTCCTCACCCTCTGTCGTATCATGGCATTTGGGGGATCTTACTATCACTTGGTATTCACCTCGCTATGCTGATGTGCTGTAACAACTTGGACTAATGCACATATGTGCAAGGTTCTACATTGTTTATAACTAACGGGCTGGTAGAAAACCACAACAAGATCACTACGTGTCAGGCGCTAGAGCTGAGGCAGCACTAATCGATTGGATCCCCATTAACAGTCGGTTATGTGCTGTTAGATTAGAAAGTACCATCAAAGTGAGAAGAAATCGGCGTGAGAAACGATGTCTTTTCGTCATCACCGCCTATGCCCCGACAGATTGCAGCCCGGATGCAATCAAGGATGAATTCTACCACCAGTTAACTGTTCTTCTCCAGAAAGTGCGTTCGACAGATATTGTAGTACTAGCCGGAGACTTGAATGCTCAGGTCGGGCGTCTAGGCACAGAAGAGTCGTTTAGGTGGCCGATGGGGACTTGCTGGTTGCAGGACAGATAACGGGGACCGCATACTGCAACTGTGCACAGACCACAACCTGTTTATGGCTAGCACTAACTTTTGGTACAGTCATCGCCGATGTGCCACCTGGCGTCCCCCTTCGGCATCTCAAGCCTGGGATTGTCTATTGAAGAAGGGTGTGTCTGAGAAGTTTATTAACATCCTAAAAGCCCTATCTACAAACACCTCAGGCAGAGTGAGGGCATACAACCACCTCTCTCCATTGTTCCATTCGAACAGTGGGGATAGGCAGGGTTGCCCAATCTCACCATTCCTCTTCAACTTTGTCATCGATGACATTCTGGAAACAGCTCTGACGGATGTAAGTAATGGTGGTGTGGATCTGTTGCCTGGAGAAAGACTTCTCGACCTTGAGTATGAGGATGATATTGTCTTACTGTGCGAGAATGCTCAAGCTATGCAATCCGCACTTAATCAGTTGGCAATCAGTGTCCGTAGGTATGGTATGTGCTTTGCACCCTCGAAGTGCAAAGTTCTTCTACAAGATTGGCAGGATTCTAATCCTGTACTCACTCTGGATGGTGAGCAGATAGAAGTAGTCGAGAAGTTCGTGTATCTGGGTAGCTGTATAAGTGCTGGTGGTGGTGTGAGTGATGAGATCAATTCACGTATAGTGAAAGCCAGAGCGGTTTATGCCAATCTGGGACATCTTTGGCGCCTTCGTGATGTTAGTCTGGCTGTAAAAGGTCGGATCTACAACGCGACGGTGAGAGCAGTTTTGCTTTATGCTTATGAAACCTGGCCTCTCCGAGTTGAGGATGTTAGACGACTCTCTGTGTCCGATCATTGTTGTCTCCGAAGGATTGCTGACATCCAGTGGCAACACCATGTTAGTGATGCAGAGGTTCGGCATCGTGTGTTCTGGCACAGAGACGACAATCCAATTGGTGTCACCATCTTGAAACACCGACTTCGGTGGCTTGGACATGTTCTACGAATGTCGTCCCGGAGAATTCCACGTCGTGCATTATTTGCCAACGCTGGGACTGGTTGGAAAAAGCGGAGAGGCGGTCAGTATATGACATGGTGTCGTGGTATGAAGGAAAGCTGCAAAGGGCTGGCTTGTGTCGGTCCTTCACGACTCCCTGGCTGGGGTCCGAGAGATGGTGTAACACAGTGGCTAGAGACGTTATCAGGTATGGCTCAGAATAGAAGCCAGTGGCGATCCTGCTGTAACCTTCTTTTAATTTCTTTGTAAAGAGTGGTTGCTTCTTCCTTAACTGTGAGATTCCTCTGATTGTACCTTTTCGTTTCCTCCATTATTATTACTATTACACTACCTTACACTAATCTGTTCGTTACTGTTATTTTTTTAACGCCCCTTACCCTCCTTTCTTTTTTTCTCTTCTCTTCAAATTCTCATTATTTTATGTGGCGCATATATATTTAGTGCCTTCTTGTACCAACATTTGTGTTCAAACAAACAATAAAATAATAATAATAATAATAATCACTGAATATTCACCATAATAAAAATCTTCAGAAGAAAGACCCACCTTAATTCTGATCAGTGATCTGAACTGTTATGTTAATGACATGCATGTTATGAAAAGATGAATACCAAATAACCAAGATTATAGACTTACTTGACCAAAGGAAGTACAAAGCATTGTTTCCTATGGCAGCTTCTGCTGTCCCTGCAGTTACACTAATAGCTATAATAATAGCAACGATAGCAAGTACACCATAACCTATCCAGTGTGCACGAGCAAAGGCTGGACCAACAGATGTAACTTTATGACAATGTGGACATCTTGCTGTTATAAGTCCTGCGGCATTGGAAGCGTTCCTGCCAGATAGAAGTGCAGTAAACAAGTTCACACGTCCAAACGAATGAGATTCGGGTGATGGTATGGAAAATGGTGAATTACAATTACCGCACGACAGGCGTAGACTTTGAGGAGTACCAAATGTTCCATGTGTAGCTGGACCCTGTAAAAACCTATTGCTACCACCCATAAAGCCCACACTATCCTCCTATTATAAAACCAAAAACAAGGTGAAAAATAAATGTATAATCATACGAATAATCGACACCAACAAAAATAAAGAATGGCTACATATACTAGAAATTATGATGACTGTATGAAACAAAACTAGTCAGTGTAAGCGCAGCAACCTGTAACAGCTTATTAGGAAAATACCTCATTAGTATTCGTTTGCTTGTACACATACATAAAATAAGCGGCGGTTAAGTAAAGAACTTGGGTTTTAAATGAGTCACGGTTTGGAGTATCGTCTTATCTATTTCAGCCCGAGTAATTAGATAGTAGCCTCCACAGAAAACAGTGCTTCGAAGTTGAGTGCGCAAACTTTTACATGTATACATCCAGTCCATTACTTACAAACTAACGTCAATACATTTTATCTCCAAACGAAAAACTAAGATAATATGCATTACCACACATACTTAGTACTTGTGGTTAACACTAATTCTAAAAATGATTCATAGTTAATCAACATGCAAGTAAAGTGTTTGTCACTACTGACTGTTTGGATAACACTTGTGTCTAGTAGAACTATACAACTATAACCATGTGTACATACAATAACATATTTAGACTGAAAAGTATAATTAAATTGATCTGGTCTTGACCAATTACTATATTTCAATTACCCTATCTATAATACATTATATTTTTACATCCTTATGAAACAAAATATGATGAATTAAACTTTTCGCATGAGGTAAGAGGTGAGAAAATACTGTGCTGAATTTACAGTGTGGTAAACTGATTCAAAATTCACAATAACTGGATCAAAGCAGTGTATGTTTTAACTATTTAATTTAATACAAAAACACAAACTTATAGCTAAATAAAAATAACCATTTAACCTTATCACTGACTACTCTGTGATTCTAATCTATTTAAAAAAAGGGTGAGAATATGATGGTCAATATCTATAGATTTTCAGGTCATCTGTCGTTAGTTGTATTTTATATTTTGCACGACAGAAGCCCTATAAGTATAATGTTGAATTCTGAACAGTATTTCCTATCCTCGATGACATATATTGGGCATAGTACAACTACCAACCTAAGTGAAACACGAATAGTTTTCTATAGGTTTACGCAGATTACACGTCATTTCTGAAAGCAATAATTGTCAGTCTTAATATGCTACCTGACATAATTACTTTTGAAACCAAACAAACTAGAGTGTAATTAACTGAAGATAAATTGAATGTGCATACACATTGATTTCGATCATGCTTAAGCATGCCGCTGTCAACTAACGAATTAATCATTCTAAATGAAGTGAAATAAGCTGAATAACTGAACCTAGCTTTACAAACGAGTAATAAATACAGCTACATTTAATGTCAAGAATCAGAAACGTAAAAATGTGGCGTGGAATACAGCACAACAATTTATTGAACTCAGCTCCCACGCCGTGTATAGGTCTGAAATGAGGTTTAAAAGGTGAAGAGAGTTTACTCAAAGCACAACTTTTAAAAGGTCAACTTCCCATCAAACAGAACTACGTTATCTGTACACTTGAAGTTAACAAGTCAGTCAGTCAGTAACAACGTGGAACTTCGTACGTATGTACATCAGTCCGAGTTGCCATGCTACATTAGCACAGAGATACAATTTTCGATTCAAATACCACAGTGGTAGAGGCAGTAAAAGTATAAGCAGTAATCGGAAAGATCAGGGTTTGAAGATGTTATTCAAAAAGTGTAATCCAATGAAATAAATTTGGAAAGAGGAAAAATAGGGGACATGAAGAATTCAGGAGATTAGAATTTGGGAGAACACAAATAATAGATGCACCTGCGCCATTGCAAACCACTTTGAGTCATGTTATTCAAGGTCTCTAACCATCGGTTGCTATCATCGTGCGGATCCCAATCAGGTAGTCTACACCTACCAACATGGCTCAGTCTACTTGTCACTCCACGCTGCCTCAGGTTGGGCATCACTTACATGACTGCCTAAATGTTTTGCTAGTTGTTACTGAAATATACCCTTAGCTTGACTATCATTATGTAGGGCCCTAAGAGGTTTCCTTGCAGCGTCTTTCCTACGTCCAGTAAGACGCAGACAAACACACACTCGCACTAGAGCATGGTCTGAATTTAAGCATGTGCTCCAGAATGAGCGACATTCTCCTATCGAGCCCGTCCATCGGTGGCTGATAGTGATGTGATCTATTTGGGTCCAACATTGGAACCATTTAGGGGGTCGCCATGTCAAAAGATGTTTTTCCTTATGTTTGAAGATAGTAATTGCAAGAAAAAGGTGGTTATCTGAGCATAACTGCAACAGACGGTCGCCATTATCTGTTCTTTGAGCCACGACGCTATAAGATCTACCCAGGTGTCTTTCCCTTTCGTTTAGCTTTCCTACTTGAGCATTAAAGTCGCCAACCGCTATTAATACATCAGAGCGCCTAGCTTTTAGGAGAAAGTCAGAAAGCTTTCTGAGCTGCAGTAAGTTGGAAAGTAGGCAGAGACAACGACGAGTGTCCCTATCTTTCCGAGTCCTTACTGTTCCGTTTCGTCGGACAGCGCACAAACGACTGTCTACTGGGATCCAATCTAAGAGAGCTAGTTCCGCCCTAGGACTCAATGCTATACCTACGCCGGCGAGGCCATGGGAAGCAGCACCAAGACTTCCAGATACATGAAGCGTGAATCCAGTTGGTTCTTTATTTTGACATGGTGAGGTCAAATGAATGACGCTACTCTGATCCTGTATGTGCGTTTCGGAGACGCAGCACACATGGATGGCGCGAGATTCTAAAGTCCTAGCTAAGGAGGCCTGTTGTCCTATTTGGCACAGTGTTCGGACATTAAAGGCTCCCACGTGTAGCTTAGAGCGTGGTTTCAGGAGACCAGGAATAACGTTCTGCGTGCTCGAATCGTTTGCAATAGCGGTGCGAGGTGATAAACGGACGTGAGAAGGGTTAGTCGTAGAGATAAGAGATTTGTCAGGAGGTGTAGGAAGGATTTGAATGTGACCAACTTGGTCTCGTGTGCTGTTACGAGTATGAGGGCTGATGTCACTTCCCGGCTGCCCACACCGTGGAAGGGTATTTCTTGAGAAACTTGAAAAGGAAATCGGATTAATGTTGGTCTTAACGACCTGGAAGCGTGACCGCAGAGCCCAAGGGACAACTGCTTGAGGTAGGTCGTGTTATATCCGAGCGAAGATTAAATCACGAGTGACTTCTGAGACATTAATTGACTAATATTATCTATATAATCTTACGGTGTAATTATTTAATAGTTAGATTATGTATATTTATATTCCCCTTATCATAAGCTTCACTTTGACCTATAATTTATCATTATACGATTTACTGTCCCTAAATTATGCTCAGTTTATTAATTACTGTCTCCCACATTCACAGCCACTTTTTGGCCTATTTGTGTACACATGTTAGTTTCTATTTTATGGTACGTTGTGGTCTGCCTGATTGATATATAAACCGAGTATGTCTGAAATAAATGATTTGGTTCGATTTGGTTGATTCAGAAGCTGGTATTGTGTTCTGGACTCAAGAGGACGGGTTAGAAGGACGTAGGACCCAATAGGACGCTAGACTGCTCAGACCGGTTGAACGTCATTGGTCTTGTCACAGTGCGAATATTCGTATAAGCCGTATTCTGATTGGCGTACAAGTCACGTGATCGTAAGCCGGACATCAAAACATAACAGGTCGCGCACGGCCTTTTTGTGGGAGGTTTTTAAAGTGTTAGCTACGTTTATCCAAGGGTCTTACCGTCGGAGACGGAAATCCGTGACTTGAGGTGTGACATTTTTAGGGTCAACATTTTCTAACCCCTTCCTTCCTTGTGAGAAGGCAGCATCGCTGCAGATGCTGGTTGTCCGAGGGAAACAATTTACTGCTGTCACACCTCTGTACAGTCAGCAGTACGACTTCGCCCTCAGACCGTTGTTGCTACCTTGACGTGGTGCTCAGGCTTGCCTGTCGTGATGAACCGATCGAGGTATACTGGCTGGAACAATCACTACTCAAAGTCCTACCATGCCAGACAGGTCAGTTGAAGAGCGGTAAGACTAAAAGCAACGAACCCAATATCTGAAGTCGAAGTACTGCTGACTGCACAGGGGTGTGAAGGCAGTAAGGTGTTTCCTTCAGACAACTAGCATAACAGCAATGCTGCCTTCCCACAAGGAGGAGTAGGGTTAGAAATGGTCGACCCTAAAAATGCACACCTCGCCTTATCCCACGGATATACGTCTCCAGCGGTAAGGTCTCAACAAGTACGGAGCTAACACAAAAATTACTCATAAAAAGGTCGTGTGTGACCGACCTCAAGCAGCTGTCCCTTGGGCACTGCGGTCACGCTCTCAGGTCACTAAGACCACCTCTAATCCAATTTCCTTTTCAGGCACCTCCAGAAGAACCCTTCCACGGTGTGGGCAACCGAGAAGTGATAACCGCCCTCATACCTCTAACAGCACTCAAGACCACTGTATTCATTATCAACCTCCCTCTTCAATTCCTATTATTCCTCCTACATTGACTTTTAACTCTAAACGTCCTCCTTTGGTTTCCTCCTCAAGTATCACCATAACCAACGATTCTAGTGCGCGAAACGCTGTCCCAGGTCTACTGAAACCTCGCTCAAAACTACACATTGGAGCCTTCAACGTACGCACACTATGCCAAATCGGTCAGCAGGCTTCCTTGGCTAAAATCTTAGAATCTTGTACAATTGATGTATGCTGTGTCTCCGAAACACGCGTACAGGATTCTAGTGTGGTCATTCACTTGACCTCACCTCGGCAAAACGGAGTGCCGACGAGATACACCCTCCGTGTATCTGGCGACCCGATGGCTAGTTCTCGTGGACTGGCAGGTGTAGGCATAGCACTAAGCATGAGGGCGGAACAAGCGCTATCAGAGTGGATCCCCGTTAATAGTCGTCTATGCGCTGTTCGGATAAACGGCTCAGTAAAAACTCGGAAGGATAGGAACACACGTCGTTGCCTTTTCGTC